CGCTTATCATTTGGTTAACATTAACTGTATGTTAGTTACTGATGACACTTACTATCCCAGAAGCTTTTTTCAGGTTCTCTGGACGCGCGCGCGCGCGCGCGCGCATGCACACACACACACACACACACACACACACACACACACACACACACACAAGCAAACAGACAACAATAGTATATTGACTGTATATTTTATGATAACTGATATCAAAGTGCTTTATTAAAGAATTGTCTTTTAGATTCAGATACTGAAATATTTATAGATGACATGATTTTATAGCTTGGATTTGCTTCAAAATCTGAAAAAAGATGGCTCAGGAAAGGAGTAAATGTATAGATGAAACAAGATTAGACATGCATTGGTAGCTGCTGAGGCTCTGTGATCACTATGGGAGTTTTTATATTATTCCCTATACTTTTGTATATATTTGAAATTTTTCATGATAAAAAGTTTTTAAAAATACATTGGAAATAGTTGCTGAATAGCCTCATAGATTCATTCTTGTTCAAGGAGCCAGCTCTCTACTTAGTTTCCTTTATTTCTTTTGGAAGAGTCACCGATCCCAGTGATCTGGGCAGTAAGACTCATGTTATTCTGTTTTATGACTCTTGGAATAGCTCAAGGTGGAAACAAAATAAATCGAATTTCTGAATTTCCTTTGTCTTCAACCACTTGGGAATCATCTCTGAAACCACTGTGGGCATTTTAAGTAACCCTGATTACCTAGTAACAATGAGCCTTTCAGGCAACAGGGAAGATAAAGTAACTCTTTCTACGCTTGTGTGCTTGCATGACAAAAGGCATAGCTATTAAATACTGGTGCTCAGTGAGCTAATGAACATGAGCCTCTAATTGTGTATTTGGCATTTTGGGATCTGAGCCTCTGCCCTGTATAAACTTGTAATCTTCTCTGCGGAGCCTTGTTAAGTTCGACTGCAGTCATAGGGCGACTTCTCTTGCTGTTTTGTTTTGTTTTGTTTTTTGTTTTTAATGAAGATAACGACTTATGCTTCCAGTAGAAGCTGACCATGGCCATAAATGGCTCTGTAACCTTTGGGTCTGTTTGACTAACCCTCTTGATCTGGATTCAAGCCAAGGGAAACTATGCTCGGGTCCTCCCTGCTTTCTAATTGCCTCATCTAAGGCGGTTTCCCTTCTCCAGCTCCACTAAAGCAAAGAATTTAAACTTATATTTCAGGATTCTTCTTTTCCCTCTGGAATCCATCTCTAAGGGGCAAAGCACATGGCTTTCTATAAGTTTAATTACTTTGGAACAAGGGTCCAAGTGAGGGTTATAGAACTTCTTTCCTTCATCTAAAAAATGAGACAGGCTCTGAGTTGGCCAGGGCAGCTCACTGCAATGTTTGTTTGTCTTTCTGGTCAGCACCTTCTGCCAGGACTAAGCTGGAGTTAAGGAGGAATAAGGCTTAGCCCCAGGTAAGTGGGAAGACAGGTGCACAGAGAGAACCTTCTGGAATACAGTGCAGGGTGTGCTGTCAGAGATATGAACTGAGCTATCTAGGGACAAAGGTGACTATCTGGGGACATCAGGACAGACCTCACAGTGGAGGTGTGAGATATGTGGGCTGAGGACAGGACTGATAGCCTGGGATTGTATCATCTTTTGAATAAAACCTGGGAATCCCAATGTGAGGGTTATGTCTTATTAGATCGCACCCAGTGTAAAACCAGCAATGGCATTTCCCTTGGGGCTGAGAATGCTAAAATTAGACTGAAAAGTCAGGATTGAGGTGTATAACCTGCCTCTGTGCCCTCGGGCACCCTCCGCCAGGGATGAGCTGTGTCCCCCATCAGGGATGAGTTCCATCTCCTGAGCAGTGACGCTGTGCAGACTTCTCTGTGCAGATAGCATTGTGATGGGTGACTGACAAAACTGATTGCAAAGCACTTTTCTCTCCCTGAACAATTTCTACAGCAGCTGAGTAATAAGCAATCAAACCTCTCACCTGGGATGTTAGTCACAAGTTCTCTTGAGCAATCACAGGTCAGCTCTTTAAGCCATTGTGGGTTTCTGTTAGCACTTGTTTCTGTTACCCAAGAATATCCTCTGTGACTTCTTAGCAGGCATAACGGCTCCGGGAGAATTCAGAAACTCAGTAACCTTGTTTGGCAATGTGAGAGGGTGCTCTGGGCACAGGTCCATACGGGCCTGGACCGCTGAGCTAGAACATGGTGCTGATAGAGCCAGCCCCAGGCTCAGATCCCCCATGGCCTTGCTGTCTCCAGGGGCCACAGACTGTAATCTCTAATGCTGGTCAGCTGCATCTCATGTGTGCCCTCAGTCCCAGAGGAGCCAGACAACCAGGCGCTAATAGAGCCTTGAATCTGAAACCACTTCTGCAGGAACCACTGGTAGTGGCCTCCCTCATGTGTACATGACCACAGTCACCCTCACCCCCACCCTGGGCTCTTGTGGGTCCACCTTCACGTGGGTTAAATAAGTCTCACGTGTATTGTGTGTATGGGGTGGGGATGGGCAAGGGGGGAAGGAAACAGTTTCCACGGGTCACAGCCCACTGAAAACTGTCACTGGTGTGGGAAGCAGGGTTCTGTATGGAGAAGGGTGCAGGACACTGATTTGGGGGTTGAGACCAGGTTTGGTTTGGAGGCGGAGAAGGCTGGCTCTGCTGAAGCTGGGCACACAGGTACCTGGCATACCTTTGCCTGATACCCCAGGGAGACAGACTGCTGCCAGGAACCCAGAAGAAGGAGCTCTGGTCTGTGAGCCCATTGATCCATGCCAAGAAAACTCTGCTGCTTTCACCTCACTTATTGGGCTTCCTGGAAAACAGGACTTTGTTTTCATCCCTGGGTGTCTTACAGTGACCCCTCTCTGTAAGACCTGCGTGGTCAGCCTGTCTCTACTCACAGGGCACAGTGTGGAAAGCAGCCGCGCCAGTTCTGTCGTCACTGATCTCCTCCAAGCGGAAATGTGATCCCAGGCTGGACAGAGACTAGCCTTTCCCCTTGGGCCAAGCAGGCCAGCAGAGCAGGGAGAGGAGGGCAGAACCATGGGTGCCCACTGTGGCTGTGAAGCCCCAGCACAGCAGTCAGCTGCAGCCACTGTGTAGGGCCCCAGTGAGGGGACACCTTCACCCCCAGCAGCACAGCCCCAGGAGGCCACAGCCAATGGCAGCCTCACCTGCTGGCATTGACTCCAGATCTCCAGATCAGGGAAGTCACCTAGCATCTCCTGCTGGCCAGGCAGCCGCCTCCTCATGGATGAGGCCCTGTGGTTTGCCCCTGAGCACTTTGGTCATTAGAAAGGCAAGGCATCAAGGTTGTCGCCCAGTTGTCCAGGCTGCTGCTCGCGTACCCTCCAGGCTGAGCCTGGCAACTGTGTCAGTGTAGAGGGCTCTTTTCCAGCCTGCCGTGGTGACAGACCTCCCTCTGTCACGGTACTTGGATATGCATGGTGCTAGAAGCCATGTCGGGAAGGAGTGTTTTAGGACAGCACTACCTTTTATTTAGTTGTATCAGTATCTGACCGTGTCCTATCTGCACTGAGGCCCTTGACCAAACAATTCCGCTGCTGGTAATTCGCTTCAAGTGGGTTGTGCTCCTACAGGTGGGGGAAAGGTAGGAGGTGCCTTTGTTCTGGGCTCACCAAATCCACTGGGCCTCCTGAGGCTTCTGTGTTCCTGGGGTACAACCAAACCAACCCTGTTCTCACTCCTGTTTTTGCTTTTCCCGATAATTAGCATCCCCACTAATGCACTGAAACTAAAAAACACAAGAGTCATCATTTCTACTTCCTCTCCCCATGCCCCTCCCAGTGGTTGTCAGGCCCTGTTAATGGTGTGTTTTCACCAAAGCGCTGCCAACTGACCCCTCACGTTCCATTCCGTTTGTCACTGTCCTGGTTCAGGTCTGAACATCTCTTCCTGAACTGTGTCAGCTGCCTCAGGCTGATCCTTTCTGTTCAGCTGGGAGACTATTACACACTTAATGGATCCCTTTTGCCTAATATCTAAATGTCAAAATTCCTTACCATGGCATTTGGGGCCCTTCAGAATTTGGACCTAACTTTCCTGGTACTTGATGGCTCCATTGTTCCTTTGCTGTCTCTCCAGCCTCACTAGACCACATGGGGCTCCTGAGCTCACCTGCACATCACACCTCCAAGCCTGTCTTCCTGCTCCAGCCCCCTCCATCTGCCCATGCTGACCTTCTTACACCTTTTCCCTGTCTGGAAGACTCTGACTCATGCTGTAAGACCCAGCTCAGTTTCTACCTCTACCATGGAACTGTCCCTCTCTCCTCCCACTAGAAGGAATTAATACTTGGAATTAATAGAGTACTTGGTTCATACTTCCGTCATACCACTTGCCCACTTGTACTGTATAACAGTTGGTTGTCTTAATCTCTCTCTCTGTCTTCCTCCCCTTCTCCCCCTCTCTTACACACACACACACACACACGTATGTTTTTATTGAGCACATTGTGCTAGGCAGAAATAATGAACCAAATCAACCTGATCCCTCCTTTATGGACTTACAGTTTAGCAGATATTGGACACCTCACTATGCTGTGAGGTCCTTAGGGATAAAGATCACCTGTCCTCTTGATGCATCACAGTCCCTGGCACACAGTGCCCACTTGCTCCATGAATGGTCACTAAGCGAATGCCAGTGGGCAGAGGTAGATACCGGAGTGGAGGACAGGGTGCGTGGATGTCTTATGGGTACAAGGTAAGTGGGAAGCCTGGAAAAGTCACATTCTGTCCTCCGTTTCTAAAGGGTGGCCTACTTTTTACATGTGACTAGCCCCTTCATAGGGAGCCACCATCTAAGAACCATGTGGCAAATTTTGAGAGTTGATCTAACGTTTTTTATCTAGATAACCTGAAGAAGTTGATTCCTTTTGAAGCAGGTGCACATGACCACTCTGGTCCTATCACCCATCGCGTGAGCCAGCTCGTCCGGGTGGATGGTTTGCGGCCTGGCTGCCTGCCTCATGCTGCTCCTTGTTTCTTTCAGAGATCTGAAACTGGACAATGTACTGCTGGACCACGAGGGGCACTGTAAACTGGCAGACTTCGGAATGTGCAAGGAGGGGATCTGTAACGGAGTCACCACGGCCACTTTCTGTGGCACACCTGACTATATTGCTCCTGAGGTCAGTAAACTGCCTGAGCGTCTTCGGAAGCCCGAGCCCCGCAGTAACCCTGATCAGACACGTTATGGGTCGCTTGTGTGTGCTGCAGCTTTGTGGGCAGCGTTGAAAGCTGACACCTCCAGACTCCTTTCGGGCTTATTGGCTAAATGATGGCTAAAAATATTCTCAGTTGCTCTAAATAAGAATTTGAGTCCATTTTTTTGTTTTGTTTTGGTAAACTTTGCAGTTGCTTTAGGCTTTAGCACTGAATGACGACAAAATGTGCTCCACCCAGAGCTATTTATTTTCTTCCTTGTCTCTACTCAGTACTTTGATCCCAGCCCCATTTAGCAAAAGAAAAGCTCTTGAATCTTTCCCATATGAGTAAGTGAGCCCAGTCTCCTCTTTTGCACATGCCCTTGGCCTAAGCCAGCCATAAATGTTTGATTACTTGGATGAGAAGGCCTCTGAGTTGACCACAGGGAAAACAGGCCATTCTATCTCTAGAGAGAATGAAACATGCATGCCAGCACAGGAAGTTCCATTTTTTTTTTTTACTTTGATAGTTCCTAATCCATCATCTTCCCTAGTCATTTAAAGACACGTTTGTTAACCAGATACACGAAGCATGCCTGACATTGCCCTCTTTGCACAGATCCTCCAGGAAATGCTCTACGGACCTGCAGTAGATTGGTGGGCAATGGGCGTGTTGCTCTATGAGATGCTCTGCGGTCATGCGCCCTTCGAGGCCGAGAACGAAGATGACCTCTTTGAAGCCATACTGAACGATGAAGTTGTCTACCCTACGTGGCTCCATGAAGATGCCACAGGGATCCTGAAATCTGTAAGTCTGGCTTACCCAGCCAACTTTCAACCTACTGCAAACCAGCTATATGTGCTGCTTGTGTCTGTTTTTTTGTTTTTGTTTTTTTTTAAATATCTCTCATCAATAAGCTACCAGCTCTGAAATATGTGGTTTTTAATCTGTAGAATCAAAGAACAAGAGTTCTCTCGGGCTGTTTTCCTCTCTTATGCAATAGTTATTTCTGAGCCAAATGCCACAGCAGTTGATAGCGTTGCTTGCCAAATATCAAGTATTTCTAGCACTTGTCGCTTTAGTGTAGGTGAAGCGATGCTCCGTTTTCACTCAGGACACTCCAGAGTGTTGGGCCATATGAGCGCCGTTCCAGTTTGTTGCGCCATTGATTGTTTTTCTATCAGCAGTGTCCAAAGAGCAGGACGAAGGGACCTTTCCCTTAGTGCTGGGAGTTGAGAAAGACAGTTTTCCAAACCTGTCGCTCTCTTTTGCTTCCATGTTATCCTTATGCAAGCCAGGCTGCAGGCCCCGGACTCAGGTGCAGTGAGGTAATAATATATGTTGAGAAAGACTTTTCTGCATGCATTTAAGGCACTGTGCTGGAAGCCTCATTTTGAAGTGAGAAAGAAACATGGAGATGCCTTTATGTTGAAAATAAGAAGGCACATGAAATTTGGGTCAGTTCTGTAACCACGTTAGTTGAGTTTGAAAGTCATGTGTTATCACCTACTAGGTGCACAGGGGACTGAAGATGAATACAAGTCAGTTCTTCAAATAGCTGGTTCATCCTGAAAGGTGTTAATGGTATTGGGAGTTTCAGTAAGAGGCCTGTGAAGCAGCTGCATTTCCTCATGTGGGAAATGTGATTTACCCAGAACTGATGCCTGCAGTCACTTTTGAATAGTGCTAACTAGGTGGAACAAATGGTTCTAGCTCAGATAGCTGAGGGCTTGCAGAAGTTATCTGTGCGGGGGAGTTAGGTAAGCTGAGACATTCTTAAGGACTCTGAACAAGCTTTCCTTTTGCTGTACAATTCCAGGTCAAGATAAGGTACACTGCTTTCTTTAAAAATACAGACTTTAGGCTTTTTCCCAAGACCATCTATGATCCTGGGAACTTGGTGACTTCAAGAGTTTCTAATGTCGACTCCATTGGATGGTGTCTTGCATAGTCTAAAAAAACTGTCAGGAGATCATGCTTGCTAAATTTGGGGTTGTAATCACTTGTCTTTACCTTTAATTTCATAGAGCTTGGTGACTTTTAGAAGCACAAACACAGACTTGCAGAACATCTTGTCCACATTCCTGGTTGGTAGCTGAGGCCCAGAGAGGTGAACCGGTGTCACATGGTAGACGGGAAAGAGCACACTTTAGTCTGAGAGTCGAGAGGCCTCATTCTACTTCCGCCACTGCTCTCTCCAGTCTTTACCTTTGGAAGGCAGTGATGAGACCACCTGCAGTACCCACTTCAAATGAGGTAGTGCACATGAAAGCAGTTTCAAAGTGGCCTGCACCATTCAGGAGTAAGTCACTCGTGTTAAGTCAGGAGTAGCAATTTCATAACACACTGAAAGGTGTCAGTATCTTCATCCTCTCCTGAGCAAGTCACCAATATCAAGATTATTAAGGGCTTAATTGTACATGAGTCTGTGTTTGATTATTCTGGAGAGAACTGTATTTCTGTTCTTCCAGGAGCTCTCTGTCTAAGCCAAGTCGATATTGAAAAGAAATAGCCAAATAGATATTGATCCTCCTATTCATTTAACAGATATATCAATGCATAGCCGCCCTTGGTCTGCTGTGTTCAGGTGCTCTGCAAGGAGCTGCGGTGCAGAAATGAGCAAGACAGACGTCATCTCTGCCCTCAGAAAATTCACAGTCCAGTGGGGGTGGGAAGACAGATGTTTAAGAAAGAAATTAAATAGCTACATATATACTTACAATTTGGTAAGAAAAAAATGTCTGAGGTGCTTTAAGAATAACAGGCTGTCAAGGGAGGCCATTCTGAGATGACATGTAAGCTGAGAACACAGGCTGCAGAGAAGTTAGGCGCACAAGCATGCAAAGACCTTGAGAAAGGAGAAGGCTGTTTGAGTAACTCTGTGGCTGGCATGTAAACAGCAGCAGTGTGGGGTGATGGGGGATGAAGGACATGGGAGGTCATATAAAGACGTCTAACCTTTATCTGAAGTGCCAAGATATAAGTCATTGAAGGATTTCAAGCAAGCATGACAAAATCATT